AACCGAGAACCGGGATCATATATAGTGGGGTATGGGTACTATAAGAGTCGTATGCAGGGGTGGTTAAGGAACACTAGTCCCGCCACATAGGTAAGTTGGGCTGGCTAAGAAAACAATGACTTCGTGAATACCCATGCAATAACACACGCGGAACTCCTACGCAACCCGTTTCAACCCTTCTGGGAAGCAAGCCCTAACCCGTTAAACAACAAACTTCTAAACATAAACCATGATTAACCCTAAACCCCTCAAAGAAGCCTTTAGAAACACATACACAACCTGTCGCATCACCAAACCGTAACCCCAAACTCCAAACCGCTGGCAAGTAACCATTTGGTCTTGGCCTCATGCCAATGGTCCTGTGGCGTGGACCTTAATTTAGGGGCCTTAATAATTAGAATAGCGTTTTGGGTGTATACTATACTAAAATGCTCATAAGGAACCCCCAAAAATAGCATAGGTAATTATTACAAGGCCCCTATAGTAGACCCATAACCCGGAACCCTAAACCCCATGGGGTTTAGGGTTTAGGGCTTACTTCCCCAATAAGCCACGAAAATTAAAAGGTTAAACTTTCAGATTAGTAATGTAGGAACCTTATTAAGACACCCTGGGTCCTTATTCGGTTATTAGGGTTCTGTGTATGAATCCTACTGCTTTGCGGTTGTAGGGCCAGGTGTATTAATCAGGTTCCTACATTACTACATTATAAGAACCCTAAAAGATCAAAGGTTGGGTGTTGGAGAACTAAGGGCTTTAGAAGGCAGAGGATGTGCAGGTAGGAATGATAGGATACCCAGAGGCTGCAAACCTCAGCAATAGATAGTTGCGCGCTGAGCCCCTAAAACCCTAAACGCTAAACCCTAAAACCCTAAACCTTGAACCCTAAATCCTAAAACCCAAAACCCGAAACCCTAAGCCCTAAACCCGAGCTACAGTCTTTATTCGAGTCTGCGCGAAGCCTGGGCCCTGGCAGAATCCTAAAATAACCCTTATAGAACCCTTAGCCTTAACGGAAGTCCTCTAAAACACCTTTGCCTGTGTAACCTAACACTACCCAGATGCCAGATCTTCCAAAATAACTGAATTGCGGATACCTTTTACAATGATTAATCATATTAAAATAACTTAGGTATATTCTTAACATAAGGGGTATTGCAAGAGCTGGGTTCTGAAATCCGTAACCCTCAACCCTAAAGCCCTATATAAACCTAAACTCTGAACCCCAAACCTAAACTCTGAACCCCAAACATAAACTCTAACCCCTAAACCATAAGCCCAAAGCCCTAAACCTAAACCCTAAACCTAAACCCTAAGCGCAAAAGCTAGACCCTAAACCCCAAACCAAACCTACACCCGAAACCCTAAAACATGAGACCATTCAGCCCTGACAGAGTCTCCTCCGGCATCAACGCCCAGAAGGACTCCAAGTTTTCGTACTGCTTCGTGATCCTTTGGGTTTAGGGAGAAGGGAATAGGATTCAGGGATTTTTAGGGTTTAGGG